AAAAAAAAAAAAAAAAAAAAAAAAAAAAAAAAAAAAAAAAAAAAAAAAAAAAAAAAAAAAAAAAAAAAAAAAAAAAAAAAGTCGGTTAAAGCCCAAGGGGCAAAATGGACATTTTACCCCTCAGCCCATTATAGGGGTCTTGAGGGTTCTCCACAGAATTCCTACAAAAGAAAGAAGTGTGAAAGAAAAGGATTGAGAGAAAGTTTGAGAGAGAAAACTGAACAGCCGGAGTTTTCGTCAGAGAGTCGCCGACGGAATCCATTTCCTACTAAGACCTACACTCTAGAGTCCTTGGAGTGAAGTAAGAACTCGTGTTGTTGAGATTTCCTCCTCTTTCGTCAAGATCAGAAAGAAAACCCGCAAGGTAAGATTTAGAACTATACTCTTTAGATCTGAGATCTTTGTTTGGAAGTAGAGTGTTTAAGTTTACTACCTTCATCCATGGAAGATCCGCCACTGATTTTGGCGAGGAAATCGGACGAAACGTCGAGATTTGGGAATCTTTCCAAGAACGGTAAGAATGTTACCGGACCTCTTTCTGACGTTCATAACTCATTGTATGACTAAGTAAAAATCAAGAAAAAAATATTGGCACGTAGGTTGAAGTATGATCTAAAACTTTGTTGAACAAACCATTACTGCTTGGATTAAGAATCGAGAGATAGAAAATGGAAAAAACATAAGAAAACTAATCGGAAACCTTGATTTTCTGCTAGGAGGAGAGAGAAGCCGCCAGCGTGCCACGTGTCAACCGGCTAGAGGACTGCGTGCGCCAACCCCCTTCGGACACACGTCGAACGCAGCTTGAAAAAATGCGGCTCCAACCCATCCTGCATCCCTCCCTACGACACGCGTCCCCGGCCCACATCCCTCAGCTGAACTGGTACCCGCGCGGCGAACCGAACGGAATCGAACCGACGATCCGCGGTCCACCTGAACCACGATTTTCGAACCAAACCGGCGACCTGCAACTGCAGAAAACCCTGGGCACGTAACACTCGTGTGTGGAATCTGCTAGTGGTTGCACCCCGACGCGTGGCTGGCGCGTGTAAGCTCATTTTTTACCTGTTTGACTTCTGTTTTCCCTATTTCCCTCCTTATTCCAATCCTAAACCCATTTTATATGAAATAGGACCTAATTAAGGAAAAATCACCACCTTTCGATTCGCAAGTGTGTGGAAACGCTGCGTAAGGGCACACATCATCCAAGTAAGTCACCACATGGAATTCTAGGAAGTAATACTTGTAGGAGTCGCTTGGAATGCATGCATGCTAGTTTAATTATCTTAGGTCGTAGTTTTCCGTGATAGTACGTAGGTAATTGATTATTAAAAGTAGGATGTATTATGTGAATTATTATGACAATTACCTGAGTATTGTTCTTATGCTTTAAGTTTCCGCTTATTATGTATATGGATATTCTGTGCTGAAAGGAGGATGGGAATTTGTGAAACCTGCGCTCCGGGAGCTGATGGACGTTATCGCCCCATTGAGCTTGTATATTTACCTTGCATGAATATCATATGATGATGTTGGATGATAGTTATGTACGTACTCAGTTAATTTTCATGGCCACTTTTATGATTAAGTCTAGAGATTTATGGTTAGAGCGACAAGTCACCAAGGAATAGACTTAACCTTTTCCTAGTAGTCTAACAGACCATCACGGCACACAAACCACCTCTAGAGTACCCTTAGGCTACTTGTGTGTGGATGGTGATATAGCTTCGTGGGGGACCGCGGGTTTCTGATCAGGACTCGATTGCTCGATAGCTATTTAGTATGGTAAACGGGATACCCACGTCGTAATTGACTGTTTAGCTGGATGAAATATGGGAGGTAGCCCTCCCAAATACAGGGGGATTATCGTGGGACTAGGAGGTTGCAGCTCACTTCCTAGGCAAGACCCCAAGTAATCTCATACCCATGTCGAGGTAGCCACTCTCAAGGCACAAGTCCAACACAGGTTAGCATAAAAGGAATTCTAGGGGTATAAATAGAAGGTCTAAGAACCAAAGAAGTCCGAAGGGACAAGTTCAAAGGAGGAAGCCCTAATGAGCTAAGACCAAAATCAGATGTTCTAGAGCGAAAGGAAAGTTCGTGGTTGTTTGTTAAGTTTAGTGTGCGACGAGAGCCTACAAGTAGGTGGCTTACTGAGTAGAATTTTTATGCTCATTCTTGTTATACCTTTCTTTTTCAGGTACGTGAGGCGTCGAGTCAAGAGAGGGCGCGTTGATTGATGTGGGTTGTCACAGAGGAAGCATGTCTTGGGGCGTCAGTCTAGTTTACTAAATAGTACACTTTGTCTTTCATGTTTCTTTTCTTGTTTTTACCTAGGCACATATGTCCTTTTAGTAATGAAACGTTTTTCTTACGAAATAAATTAAATACTTTTGAAATAATGTTTTCCTTGAATTTCTCGTTTACACGTTACACGTCATAGTCATTGCTTGTCATGACTGAGGTTAATTCTTTGGGTCGTGACAAATTTGGTATCAGAGCACCAGGACATAGGTCCTGTAGACACTTAGGTTAGAGAGTCGTATCCTCTCTAACGCGCCCATCAATCACCTGACGCTCGCGACCAGACAGTCTCATGAATTTGAATTGCGAAATTAAGAGATAAGATGTTAAGTAGAAAATTTTTCTTGACTGTTCTCTTGTGTTGTACTGCACATTTCCTAGAGGTTGAACCTTGAACTAAATGTAACTGCAAATTCTCTATTGTGGTAGCTAAATGGCACCTAGGAGGAGTAGAACTTATCTCGGGCCTGGACCTAGAAGGGGAAGAAGAAGAGTCGCATAGGACACTGATGTCCCGTCACTTGAGGCGGAACAAACTGTACCTGAACCTCAAGAGGAGGTTGAAGAAATGCCACAATGGTCTGAATGTCCTATACCACGAGCACCAAGGTCAGGAATGAGTCAAAAGAAAGCAGTGACTCAAGAATTACCTAATGCAGACTCTACTGCTTCTCCTCCTGAAGCGGTTCCACCAGTGCCCACCAATAACGTGGAGGTTCCATCTAAGCCGCCAACAACTAACCTCACTACAGATGTACTACAGTCATTTATGTTAACCTCTAAGGAAAACTAGGCTCAAATGACTCAGTAGATGCAAACAATGGTCGCTAACCAGGCTACAATGCAACAGACAATACAACAGGCAACGTTGAAACAGACAACATGGCAACAGACAGCAATGCAACAGGCAGCAATGCAACAGTCAGTTTTGCTGGGGAACAGAGACTCTAGAACTATGACCATAGAGGCTCGTTATCTTAAGGACTTCCAGAGGCAAAAATTGTCTTCCCTTGAAGGTAGCAAAATTGATCCCATTGCAACAGAAAATTGGATCGAGGCTAGGAAAAAGCCTTCGTTTACATGAACTGTCCGCTGGAATATCAGGTTTATTGCGGAACGTATATATTGGAAGGAGAGGCTCATTTATGGTGGAAGGGTGCTAAAAAAAGGATTGCACCACTTGGAGAGCCTATTTTTTGGTGTCAGTTCAAAGAGGTCTATCTCCGCAAATACTATCCAGTCGCTGCTAGAATGAAGCTGCAGGCAGCATTTCATGAACTCAAATAGGGTGACCTATCTATGGAGGATTATGATCAGGAATTCAATAGGTTGACTAGATTCTCCCCTATATATGTCAGTACTGAAGAGCTTAAGGCTAAACGTTTTATCGCCGGCCTAAGGGAGAACATTAGAGGTTATGTGGCATCACAGTCATCCACAGACTATACAGCAGCTCTCAAGATGGCAACCATCATTGATGTGCCTCGTACTGACAGATTACAAGTAGGGTTAGCCCAAAAATCCCAGATCAGTCCAGGGGAGACAGATAAACTGGAATTATCCCAGGACTGGCAAACCATCCAGTGGTGGCATTATCAATCACGGAAGAGGCTCATCACAGAACAGAAATCAATGTCCTAAGTGTCAGCGTACTCACCAGGGAGAATGTCGCCTAGGGACTACTGTATGCTATAATTGTGGCCAGATGGGACACTATGCAGCAAACTGCCCTCAAAAGAGAGACAATGACACTAACCGACCTGCAATAAAGAATCAAAGGGGTCGGGGTGCCCAACAGCAGTAGGGGCGAGCTGTAGCCCATGCAACCACAAGTAGGCAGACGGATGCACCCGATGCAGTTGTTATAGGTAAACTACCCGTCTTTTGTCATTTGGCTTTAGTACTATTTGATTCAAGATCCACACACTCGTTTGTGTCTGAGGAATTCGTTGATTTAGCGCACTTAAAAAAAAACTCTTAGAGACCATTCTATCAATGTCCACCCCTGCTCACGAGTTATTAATGGCTACTCATAGAGTTAAGGGAGGTAGTCTGACAGTGTCGAGCCGTGTCATAGAAGCTACATTAATAGTATTAAGCATGCAAGACTTCAATGTCATTTTGGGCATGGATTGGCTAGGCGAGAATCGCGCTCTAATAGATTGTGAAACTCGAAAAGTCACTCTCAGACTTCCGTCAGGGGATAGTTTTACATATAAGGGAGCCATGTCCAAAAGAACCCCAAGCGTCGTAACTGCACTAAAGGCCAAAAAGACGATCCGCAGTGGTGCAAGCGCATTCTTAGTTAGTGTGACCCTAGACAGCAGGAATGAACAGGCAGTATCTTTAGTACACATTGTCAGGGAATTCTTTGATGTTTTTCCTAACGATTTGCCAAGTTTGCCCCCTGTTAGGGAAGTTGACTTCGGGATCAACTAGAACCAGGAACTGCGCCGATCTCCAAAGCACCCTACAAAATGGCACCTGCAGAACTCAGGGAATTGAAGGAACAGTTACAGAAGCTATTGGATAAGGGTTTATACGACCCAGTGTGTCACCCTGGGGAGCCCCTATTCTGTTTGTCAAGAAGAAGGATGGATCCCTGCGCCTGTGTATAGACTATAGAGAACTGAATAAGGTCACCATAAAGAATAAGTACCCCCTCCCGAGGATCGACGACTTGTTTGATCAATTGCAGGGAGCAACGGTATTCTCTAAAATTGACTTGAGGTCAGGATATCATCAATTGAGAATAAGAGAAGAAGATATACTCAAAATAGTTTTTAGAAGTCGCTATGGACATTATGAATTTCTCTCCTTTGGACTTACCAAGGCACCAGTCGTCTTCATGGAACTAATGAACAAGGTGTTTAAGGAATTCTTAGACACTTTTGTTATAGTATTTTATTGATGATATTTTGGTGTACTCTAAGTCAGAAGCAGAGCACGAAGGACATTTGAGAAAAGTTCTGACCATACTAAGAACATAGCGACTGTACGCCAAGTTTTCCAAGTGTGAATTTTGGCTATCTGAGGTAGCGTTTTTGGGTCATGTGGTGTCAAGTAGAGGAATCACAGTGGACCCAGCTAAGATAGAGGCGGTGATGAAGTGGCCAAGACCGACCACAGTCACTGAAGTACGGAGTTTTCTAGGACTAGCTGGTTATTACAGAAGGTTCGTCCAGGATTTCTCCAAGATATCTTCAACGCTAACTCAGTTAACTAAGAAAGGCAAGCCTTTTGTGTGGACATTAGCTTGCGAACAGAGCTTCCAGGAACTCAAGGAGAGGTTGGTGACAGCACCAGTCCTCACAGTTCCAGATGGATCAGGGAATCTTGTGGTGTACAGTGACGCATCGGGAAAAGGATTAGGATGCGTGCTCATGCAGAAAGGTAAAGTGATAGCTTACGCTTCCAGATAACTGAAGGAATATGAAAGAAATTATCCCATTCATGACCTCGAGTTAGCAGTAGTGGTGTTTGCACTAAAAACGTGGCGACATTATTTGTATGGAGAGAAAATTCAAGTATTCACTGATCACAAGAGTCTCAAGTATCTATTTACGCAGAAGGAGCTTAACATGAGGCAGAGGAGATGGTTGGAATTAGTAAAGCATTATGACATCGAGATCCTGTATCATCCAGGCAAGGCCAATGTCGTGGCGGAAGCATTGAGCAGAAATGCAGTTGATACTTTCGCGATGATCACTAAGCAGGAGAGAATACAGGATGAGATGAAAAGGGCTGGAATCGATGTTGTAATCAAAGGTGGTACTTCTCAGATAACACAAATGACCATGCAACCCACCTTACGAAAAACGAATTATTGACACTCAAAGTTCTGATGAACACCTTGGGAAACTGTGGAATCAGACAAAGACTGAAAGACTAGTGGGGTACTCAATCTCTTCAGATGGGGGTCTGCTGTGGAAAAATAGCCTATGTGTTCCCCATGACAAGAAAATTTTGAAGGATATTATGACAGAAGCTCACGATACTTCTTACACATTCTACCCTGGAAGTACAAAGATGTATCAGGATCTTAAGGGATGTTATTGGTGGCCAGGGATGAAAAAGGAGATAGCAGATTTTGTAAGCCGATGCTTGACCTGTCAGCAGGTGAAGGCCCCGAGACAGCGTCCAGCCGGACTGCTACAACCCTTAAAGGTCCCTCAGTGGAAATGGGAAGCAGTTTGCATGGATTTTATCTCGGGTTTGCCCAAGACCAAACAAAGCTTCAACGTAATTTGGGTAGTTGTTGATAGACTTACCAAAATGGCTCACTTCATCCCAGGCAAAACCACTTATCGTGTGGATCGGTGGGCTCAGCAGTATATCAGAGAGATAGTACGCCTGCATGGTGTACCGGTCTATAGTATCTGATCGAGACACTAGGTTCACCTCTCAGTTTTGGAAAAGCCTCCAAAAAGCATTGGGGACTCAGCTAAGGTTTAGTACAGCATTCCATCCTCAGACGGATGGACAGACCGAAAGACTGAACCAAATCTTAGAAGATATGTTGCGAGCCTGTGTCATGGATTTCGATGGGTGCTGGGATGAACATCTACCACTGATAGAGTTTGCTTACAATAATAGTTATCAAGCGACCATCCAAATGGCCCCTTTTGAGGCGCTTTATGGGCGTAGGTGTCGAACACCAATATTTTAGGAAGAAGTAAGCACGCAACAACTACTGGGACCAGAGTTGGTTCAGGTCATCAACGCAGCCGTGCAGAAAATTAAGCAAAGAATCCTCACTGCACAGAGCTGACAAAAGAGCTACACATATTTGCATAGAAGGGACCTCGAGTTCGAGGTGGGTGACCATGTGTTCTTGAAGGAAGCTCCTATGAGGGGGGTGTTGAGGTTTGGAAAGAAGGGGAAGTTAAGCCCAAGGTTTATAGGCCCTTTCGAAATTCTAGAGAGAGTTGGGGTCGTGGCTTATAAGATTGCTCTACCACCAAACCTTGTCGCCGTTCACAACGTGATCCACGTGTCTATGCTATGAAAGTACACCCCAGACTCTACTCATGTGATTGAATACGAGACTCTTCCTCTTCAGGAAGATCTGTCCTACAAGGAAAGGCCCAGCAAAATTCTGGCTCGAGACACTAGGCAATTATGCAACAAAGTTATCCTCTTGGTGAAAGTTGCATGGGGTAACCATCGAAACGAGGAGGCAACCTGGGAACAAGAGGATGTGTAAGGAGAGCCTATCCCGAACTCTTCCAAGAGATACAAACTTTCGAGGACGAAAGTTTCTAAGGAGGGGAGAATTTTTAATACTAAAAAAAAAAAAAGTCGGTTAAAGCCGAAGGGGCAAAATGGACATTTTACCCCTTAACCCATTATAGAGGTCTTGAGGGTTCTCCTACAGCATTCCTACAAAAGAAAGATGTGTGAGAGAGAAGGATTGAGAGAAAGTTTGAGAGAGAAAACTGAACAGCCGGAGTTTTCGTCGGAGAGTCGCCGACAGAATCCATTCCCTACTAAGACTTACACCCTAGAGTTCTTCTTGGAGTGAAGTAAGAACTCGTGTTGTTGAGATTTCCTCCTCTTTCGTCAAGATCGAAAAGAAAACCCGCAAGGTAAGATTTCGAACTATACTTTTTAGATCTGAGATCTTTGTTTGGGAGTAGAGTGTTTAAGTTTACTACCTTCATCCAGGGAAGATCCGCCACTGATTTTGGTGAGGAAATCGGATGAAACGTCGAGATCTGAGAATCTTTCCAAGAACGGTAAGAATGTTACCAAACCTCTTTCCAACGCTCATAACTCATTGTATGACCAAGTAAAAATCAAGAAAAAAATATTGGCACGTAGGTTGAAGTATGATCTAAAACTTTGTTGAACAAACCATTACTGTTTGGATTAAGAATCGAGAGATAGAAAATGGAAAGAACCTCGGAAAACTAATCGGAAACCTTGATTTTCTGCTAGGAGGAGAGAGAAGTCGCCAGCGTGCCACATGTCAACCGGCTAGAGGACCGCGTGTGCCAACCCCCTTTGGACGCGTCAAACGCTGCTTAGAAAAATGCGGCTTCAACCCAGCTCGCATCCCTCCCTGCGACACGCGTCCCCGGCAACGCAACCTAGCCCGCATCCCTCGGCTGACCCGGTACCTGCACGGCGAACCAAACCGAACTGATGACCCGCGGTCAACCTGAACCACTATTTTCGAACCGAACCGGCGACCTGTGACTACAAAAAACCCTGGGAGCATGACACTCGCGCGTGGAATCAGCTAGTGGTTGCACCCCAGCGCATGTAAGCTCATTTTTGACCCGTTCGACTTCTATTTTCCCTATTTCCCTCCTTATTCCAATCCTAAACCCATTTTATATGAAATAGGACCTACTTGAGGAAAAATCACCACCTTTCGATTCGCCAAGTGTGTGGAAACGCTGCATAAGGGCACGCATCATCCAAGTAAGTCACCACACGGAATTCTAGGAAGTAATACTTGTAGGAGTCGCTTGGAATGCATGCATGCTAGTTTAATTATCTTAGGTCGTAGTTTCTGAGTATTGTTCTTATGATTTACGTTTCCGTTATTATGTATATGGATATTGTGTGCTGAAAGGAGGATGGGAATTTGTGAAATCTGCGCTCTGGGAGTTGATGGACGTTATCGCCCCGTTGAGCTTGTATGTTTACCTTGCATGAATATTGTATGATGATGTTTGATGATAGTTATGTACGTACTCAGTTAATTTTCATGGCCACTTTTATGATTAAGTCTAGAGATTTATGTTACAGCTACAAGTCACCAAGGAATAGACTTAACCTTCCCTAGTAGTCTAACAGACCATCACGACACACGAACCACCTCTAGAGTACCCTTAGGCCACTTGTGTGTGGATAGTGATATAGCTTCATGGGGGACCAACGGGTTCCTGATCAGGACTCGACTGCTCGATAGCCGTTTAGTATGGTAAACGGGATACCCACGTCGTAATTGACCGTTTAGCTGGATGAAATAGGGGAGGTAGCCCTCTCAAATACAGGGGGATTATCGTGGGACTAGGAGGTTGCAGCTCACTTCCTAGGCAAGACCCCAAGTAATCTCATACCCATGTCGAGGTAGCCACTCTCAAGGCACAAGTCCAACATAGGTTAGCATAAAAGGAACTCTAGGGGTATAAATAGAAGGTCTAAGAACCAAAGAAGTCCGAAGGGACAAGTTCAAAGGAGGAAGCCCTAATGAGCTAAGACCAGAATCAGATGTTCTAGAGCCAAAGGAAAGTCTGTGGTTGTTTGTTAAGTTTAGGGTGCGACGAGAGCCGACAAGTAGGTGGCTTACTGAGTATAATTTTTATACCCATTCTTGTTATACCTTTCTTTTTCAGGTACGTGAGGCGTTGAGTCAAGAGAGGGCGCGTTGATCGATGTGGGTTGTCACAGAGGAAGAGTGTCCCGGGGCGTCAGTCTAGTTTACTGAATAGTACACTTTGTCTTTCATGTTTCTTTTCTTGTTTTTACTTAGGCACATATGTCCTTTTAGTAATGAAACGATTTTCTTATGAAATAAATGAAATACTTTTGATATAATGTTTTCCTTGAATTTTTCGTTTACACGTTACACGTCATAGTCATTGCTAGTCACAACTGAGGTTAATTCTTTGGGTCGTGACATAGGCAGAGCTAGATAGGGTAGTGTGATTTGTGTCCCATCCAATTGGTGATAGCTAAGGGGTCTCTTGAACAGGACCCTAAGCCGTAGAAACCTGTCTCTGTGCGGGTGAGCATGGGACAATGTAGGATGACTTAGTAGCTAATCGGCACGCAGGAGATCATAGCCTCTCGATTATAGTTGTAGTATGGTCCCATGGGAGGGTTGTCGACTAACCTCCATGGATGATGCTCAGAGAGCGATACTGATTCAAATCCAGCTACACTGTCCTCTCCTCAGTTTTACTTTTGAGGTCGCGCCTCATCCCAGGACACTGATCATCCACCGCATAAGATAGGCAAGCCTCATAAGTTGTAGAAAATAGAGTTGCAACTTAGTTTGCACTTCCTAGAACCCCAAGACAAGGTCGTGGATACCTATTAAGATAAGGTTGCGAAAAGAGTTTACAAGTAGGTTGCTTACTGAGCATTCTTAAACTCATCATTTCTACTTTTTTTTTTTTTTTCAAGTGAGTGATGCCACGGATCGGGACAGGAACGCATGCAGGAGTCTTAAAGCCAAAAAGGAGTGTCCCGGGGCATCTAGGAGTCTGTACATATCATGCATAGTTACTTCACACATTTTGTACTCCACATACTTTTTCATGAAATTCATACACTACTTAAACATTTTGTTTTGATGGTAATTCTTCTTCTTAATTGCTAACATTTTTAAGCAATTTCCTCTTGTCTATCTCTTTTTTAAATGTTTTCATTGCATAATCCATTAGCTTAGCCCTTGATTTTGAGTCTCAAATTTTGGGGGGTGGCAATTCATATCATTCAACATATCACATCCTTTCTATGGTATAGTTCAACCTATCATATCCTTCCACATACCATATCATAACATGTAATATACTCACCTTAATTGTCTTAAATAAGAACCAAAAGATTTTGGTTGGTTTGAAAAGATTGAGAAATGAAATTATGAAATAGATAAAAAGATAGTATAGGGAGAAGTTTTATATTTAAGGGAGTAAAAGCTGTAGGGAGTAGTGTGGAAGATGAAGCGAAGACAAAAGGGTTTAAAGAAGGAACAAATTCTGTATAAGAAATGGAAGCAACTGTTCTTACTTTTACTTTATTATGCTACATGATTATCAAAGCGATTAAAGAAAAAGAATACAAACTTTATGACCGGAACAAGAAAAGAAAGAAAGAGAGATATAAGTTATATATAAAATAGATTTGGGTTAGCGATGGCAAACAAAATAAGAAACTAAAACCCAAAGAAGATATGGATTTGTACAAAGAGAAAAAAGCGTTATACAAGTTTGCGTTGAGGGAACAATGGGAGTATGTGGGCGAGGTATGTAAGGATGCGAGGCAGTTCGTGCTTCCGATCAATAACGGTGGAGACACGGCGTTGCATTTGGCAGTGCACAGTGGAAAAGAAGAACCTTTAAAAACCTTTCTTGCGCAGGTGATGGAGATGGAGTACACAGAGCATTGGAAGAGCTACGTTGAAAACACACCTCTACATGAAGCTGCCAGTGTAGGGAATTTGGGTGCTGTTAAGCTCTTGGTTGAGTTAAGGAAGGAGGATTTGTTGGAGGTGAACATTTGGGGTGAAACGCCTTTGTATAGTGCAGCCAGATATGGGAAACTTGACATCGTTCAATATATTTTGAATGATTGTGAAGATTTTTACGCTCGATCTTCCCTAAACTGGACGGCAAAGGGTACTCCAATCATTCATGCAGCCATTCAAAGCGAGAACTTCGGTTAGTGTCTCGGTTTATGTTACCATAATTGAAGCTAATTCCAAGTTTTAATACCTAATTCAAAGCTTTTATTGCAGAGATGGTTATGATGTTGGTGGATTTCGACAAGTCACTGTTGGAGATGAAGGATACAAACAACAAGACGGCTCTCCACGTGCTGGCCAATATGCCACACATTTTTGAGAGTGGATACGTCAAGGGATTTTGGGCGGAATTGATCTATTATTGTAACAACTATGATTAAAATTTTTAAAAATTATATTTCATTCCTTTTTTTAAAAAAAAAACTTTTTAATATTTTTTTTTTTCTTATCACATCACAGGGCTTCCCAAGGACCCAACTTACGACTTTAATTTTTGTAAATTTGGCTATGTGAACAACAATGACTCTACAAGTTTAAGTAATAAAGACAAGAAGTTTGAAGATTTAGAAGCCGGATTTGACTCTAAACCTAAACATAATTGGTGTTTTAAATGGAGTAAGTTTTTTTTTTGTTTTTTTTACTAATTTAGGAAATGAACATGTGTTTATAAGTAAATAATACATCTACATTATAAGGGTTTTTAGAGAAAACCTAAAGAAAAGGCACGAGAGCTTAACTTTAAAGTGACAATATCACACCATTCTTGAGAGTCTGATTCCTAACCTTTTAAATTCTTAATCTTACTCGTATTTAATAAAAAAAACAATTACGGAAGGATTGTTTGTGCACTGAGTACTAAAGGATTGTTTGTGAGTGGCAGGTAAATACCTTGGACAAAGTTCGAAGAGGTTGTTGGGGAGATTCATCGTGCGAGGTCTTCTTTCTCTAACTCTAAAACATATTTTTAACAAAAAAAAAAAATAATGTTAATATGACATTCAAATGCTAAGTATGACATTTAAAATACAGGGTGGCTTGAATGCAAAGAGCTGTACATGAAAAAGAAAAAACATAAATTAATTCTAAGAATCACGGAAATGCTAGTGGACATAGATTTATCATGTTACCAGGAAAAACAGAAGCCCGACAGCACTCTAATTGACAGATCAGAAAAGGCAAAAGAACCTATCGTGGATGGTAAAAGTATTGAATACAAGGACCACCATGAGACGCCACTGTTACTGGCCGCAGCCAGGGGAATAATAGAAGTGGTTGAAAGGATCATCGAAGCCCACCCAGAGGCTGTGGACTACGTGACGGAAAAGGACAGAAACATTCTGCATGTGCTCATTGCACACCGACAACTCAAGATCTTTGAATGGATTCAACGCCAGAAACTTATCATGCACAGACTGACCAGGAGGATCGACGTGTTGGGCTACACAGTATTGCACCATGTTGGAATCACTAAATTCCTCAGTCAATCCACCCTTGGTCCAGCAATACAACTTCAACATGAGCTGGAGTGGTTCGATCGCGTCCACAATGTGCTTCCGCTCCTTTACAACATGCAATATAGCAAGAACCAGTGGAATCCACGCGAGTTCTTCGATGAAACTCACAAGGATATGCTTGATAAAGCCAAAGAATGGATCAAGAAAACCTCCGAGTCTTGCTCTGCTGTTGCTGTCCTCATGGCCACTGTCGCCTTCGCCGCTGCCTTCACTGTCCCCGGTGGACTCAACTCCAAAACTGGCTCTCCGATTCTCCTCTCTGATCCTATCTACCTGTTTTTCGCCGCCTTGGACATCACCTCCCTCATCTCATCGCTCTCCTCCTTAGTTCTGTTTCTCTTGATCTTGACCTCGCCTTTTGAGATCGATACTTTTCGACATGAATTGACAATTCAATTGTCCTTGGGATTCAATCTGCTGTTCTTGTCGGTGGCGAGCACGATGATTGCGTTCGCTGTGGCCATCGTGCTCACAATGAAATCGACCAACATGGTATGGGCGGAATGCCTTTTGTTTTTGGTCACACTTGCTCCAATAGTCATTTTTGTAGTAATGAAGTTGCCGCTGTTGCTGGAGCTGGAGAAAAGTATTTGGAAGGGTCTACAATTTCTTTGGAAGTTGCTTCCCATGGGTTTCCTCACCATATTTTTTGAGATTCCTTCCAAATTTTTAAGCAACAAATCTACCTGATTTTCATGCCTGGATTTGGGAGCGGATATAACTGCGGATGGATACGTAATAAACTACTTCCTTTTCTTACCTTAATTGCCTGTACTGGCTTAATAAATGTGAAGTTTGTTGCACATAATGTTCAAAAGTGTGCTTTTTATTTATCTTTCCAAGGTTAATAATATATAAAAAATTTAATTTAAGATATAAAAATATTTCTCAAATATATTTGTCCTATGGAATATATGAGATTGTATCCCATTTAAACAACATTAACAAAAATGGTACTTTTCATCCCATTGAAATTAATCGTAGAGATCGATCATCTGCAAATATGGTTGATGCTTCTCAATTCAATATATAAGAAGAGTCACCTAATTTCATTCCAAATTAATCTTACGAGCAGTTACAACAGATAGCACAAGCCTTATCTGTATTCAATCATCCTCTTTTGGGTAATTCTGATAGTTACATCAATGCTGCAGGTTTATTTCCAGTATCTGTAATATTCATTAACTCTGCTAGTTCTAATTCATGGATTCTCGATAGTGGAGCTACGAATCATATAATATCCAAACTTTTGTTATGACTAAACCCAAGTCTCTAATCATGTCTACACTAAATTTTGTTAATGGAGGGATAACATATGTGTCACATACGGTAATGCTTCCTTTAATCCTGACCTTAAATTAAACAATATTTTATGGTTCATTAGCAAACTTACCAATCAGTTGAACTGTTGTATCACCTTCTATCCTGATTCTTGTATTAGGCAGAACTTGACTTGTAAGAGCCAATACAACTATCAATAAGTGAGGAGAGAGAAATGTCAGTTATACTACTCTTTTAGGGTTAAAAAAAAGCAGTGGGGAGGAAAAGAGAAAAAGGAAGAAAGAAAGAAAAAAAAAAGAAAGAAAGAAGAAGAAGACAGAGGAGAGGGTGGAACGGAGGAGACGAATGACGGAGCTTGAAGCGCTCGTCAGCAACGGTGGGCCGAACGGCTGAGGAAGGAGAACGCCGATGGTAAGAACTAGTGGTGTGATTTTTGTTGTTGTTTTCCAAAACCCTAATACATTTCACTGGATCGGTGTACCTAGGTTATTGTTGAGGAAAGTTGGTGAGTCCTTGTGAAGAAGAAGGCATGGGGTGTTGAGAGGAAAGAAAGATCAAGAAGAAGGTGGGAAGAAGAGGTCAAAAACTGAGGAGGCACGACCTGACCCAACCCGACCCATCTATACAGAACTGAAACACGATTTTTTTCATTTCACACCATTTGATTCGTCTTTATTCAGATTTAGGTCATTCACTCACACATTCCATAATGCCTTATTATAGGAAAATTCCAAGCTTAGTCAAGGGGACACTTAAAGACTCAATAAAGTTTTGGGAAGTCTACGATCAGGTAAGTAACCATCTAGAGCAAGTTTTTAAGTAATTGCTTGTAGGAGTAGGTTTGGATTTGTGGCCAAACAATTTAGTACCGTATTTAGGAATGGATAAAGTTAGTTCATGGAGGTGGTACTTCGATAATGTGTGTGGTTGAACTTTGATTGTCGTTATGGTTATATTGTTTCGTTGGCATGAATGTGAAATTTCGTATAGGCGTATGGGATGATCTGTTTTTTCATGTTGAGTTAGATGGTTATTATGTGACTTAGCATGGCGATGTGTTGTTGTAGTGGTTCTTTGTTAGGCATTGGGTGTGGGGCTTGGGTAGCCCATTGTTACCCTTTGTGAGTTGGATCATTTATTAGGTGCTAGTTATCATAAGTTCATATAGATGACAGTGTTCCATTTTCGTAGTCACCCACAAGGGGTTGAGAGTAATCATAGTATATTATTGTGATAACACGTCAGAGGTGCTTAGTGGGACGAGCCATGACCTTTTACTGATCCAGTCGAGCGGCATAGTGACAGGTAGTTACTATTCCTAAGACAGGTAGTTTTACTGATCTGAGCCGACAAGGGCGTAAGACAGGTAGTGACTGACCCGGCCTAGCGAGGCACAATGACAGGTAGTTACTGATCTTAGGAACAGTTAGATGTTGCTAAGCACCACTAGGTCTCTGACTATTTGAGCACAAAACTTAGGATCCCGTGAATAGGGCTAAGTTCGACAAGAGCTTACGAGCAAGTTGCTTACTGGGTATTGTTTATATACTCATTATGTGTTGTTTCTATTTTTTCAGGAGAAAAGTAGATCTGGGTCGGTGGCGGGGACATGTGGAGTCGTGCAGCTGCAGAAGGGGGCCCTTAGATTGAGTCAGCTTCTCCCATGTCATTTTGGTTATGATTTTGACGTTTTTGGAAAACCTGCGATATTTTGTAACTGTTTCTTTTTATGTGACTCCGTGGATTTTCTTTTATGTGTTTTGTAGTATTTTTTTTTTAAATGTATATCAGACAACTTTTAACTTTTAGTCCCTGGTTCAAACTACAAGAAGTATTGAAAAGTTCTTTTTACTCTTGAGTCCACGTGGCGACCAGTGATTCGGTATTTTTGAAGATCGGTCGTTACATGACTACGGGGAAGATGATTGGCCCGAGTAATAATTTGAAGGTCTCTATCATATTTCTTTATCTCCAATCAAGCCTTCAACAAATCAAGCATCTCAATCATCTAATTTGTGGCATCTACGCCTAGGTCATCCTTCATTTTTCTCGCTTTAAATTTCTAGCTAATCAATTGCATCTTGATAATACTATTTTTTCATAATGGTAGTATTTGCCTATTAGCAAAACAAACTAGGCTGTCTTTTCCAAGAAGTTCAATAACAACACATTTTGCCTTTGATCAGATACATTGTGATGTTTAGGGACCTTATAAAATTCCTACCCATTTTTATTTGTGTTTTTTACTCACTATTGTTGATGATTTTACTCGATGTCTTAGATTTTTCTTATCTAACATAAATTAGAAGTACAACATTTGTTAATGAACTTTATTAAATTCATTCAAACCCAATTTCACACTATTATCAAGATAGTATGATCTGACAATGAGACTGATTTCCTATCTTTGCAATCATTTTTTACTTCTTGTGGCATTGGATTTCAGCTTACTTGTGTCTATATTCCCCAACAAATACTTGTGTCTATACTCCCCAGCAAAATGGAGTCGTAGAAAGTAAGCATCGTCATATTCAAAATGTAGCTAGGTCTCTTCTCTTTCACTTAAATGTTCCATTTAATTTTTGGGGAGAGTGCATTTTAACTATTGTTTATCTTATAAATAGAACACCATCATCATTGTTATCTAACAAGACACCCATTGAAGCACTTTACAAACGACCACCTACATTTCATCATCTTAAAGTCGTTGGTTGTAAATGTTATGCAATTGTAGTACATCCAAAACAAAAATTTGAATCTCAGACAATTCCTTGTGTTTTCATAGGATATCCTAGTGGTCACAAAGGTATAAGTTGTACGACATATAGTCTCACAAATTCTTTATTCGTCGTGATCTTAAATTTTGTGAAGATGATTTTTCTATTTCATCAACTTCACAAGCTTTGACATTAGCTCCTTCAACTCCCATTTTACCACACCATGATTCAAACATTCGTTCTCCTCTTATTTCGTCATCTTCTTCACTTTCTGTTCCTTCTCCAAATTCACCCACTAATTCTATTCCAATCCTACCTGATACATCAGTTCCACTCTAACGTTCTACTCGTATCAAATAGTCTCCAATTTGGCATAATGATTATGAGATGTTTTCTACAACCAATCATTTAACCTCCAGCTCAAGTCACAGAACTGGCACCAGGTATCCCCTTCATTATTAACTTTCATTCTCTCATTTTTCTTCTGCTCAATGTACTTTTCTAACTCTTATTATAGTCGAAACATAACCTAAAACCCAGAATGAGGCAGTTGGCAACCCATTATGACAACAGGCTATGAATGTTGAAATTACAGCTTTGGAATGTAATTCTTGGTCTCTTGTAACTCTACCACCTATCCATAAAGCTATTGGCTATCTTTAGGTGTACAAGATTAAATACAACTCTGATGGTTCTGTTGAACGCTATAAAGTTCGGCTGGTAGCAAAGGGATACAATCAAGTTGAAGTTATTGATTACAAAGAGACATATTTTCCTATAGCGAAACTTACTATATTTCGTTGCTTCCTCACTATTGTTGCTGCTAAAAAGTGGTTCACTCATCAGTTGGATGTTCAAAATGTTTTTCTCCATGGTAATCTAAACGAGGAAGTCTACATGTCTTTACCACTAGGTCTTCGCCGATAGGGGGAGAATACAGTATGTCGGCTACATAAGTCTCTTTATGGGTTAAAACAAGCTTCTCGCAATTGGTTCTCCATATTCTCTACCACTATACAAAATGTAGGTTACACTCAGTCAAAAGATGATTACTCTTTATTTAAGAGTATTGGTATTTCTTTCATGGTAGTTTTTATCTATGTTGATGATACTCTGCTGACAGACAATGATCTCAAAGAAATTCAACATCTCAAGACTTGTTTATTCAAGAAATTCTTTATAAAATATTTAGAAATTTGAAATATTTTCTGGACATTGAATTTCTCGATCTAGAAAAGAAATGTTTGTCTCCAAGGAAATTTGCTTTAGACATTCTTCAAGGCACGGGTCTTATAGGAGCACGTCTAGAAAAATTTCTTATGGAGCAAAATTTGAAGCTTTCTTCAACAGAAATAGATAAGTTGAATGATCCAAACAAATATAGACAGCAGATTAATATATTTAATTGTTACCAGAACTTACTTAGTATATTCAGTCGTATGCTTAGCCAATTTCTGGGTAAACCAAGAAAATCACATTGGGAGGCAGCTCTTCGAGTTCTGAGATACATCAAAGGTACTCTTGGTCAATAACTTCTAGTACCATCTGAAAAAAAATTGAGATTACAAGCATATTGCTATTCTGACTAGAGTGGTTGTCAAACTATGAGACAGTCTATTTTTTTGTTCTGCATCTTCTTGGGAAATTCATTTATTTCTTGGAAGTCTAAAAAACAAACCAATGTGTCTAGATCATCCGCAGAAGTCGAGTATCAAGCTATGGCAAATACTTGTTTAGAGTTAACTTGGCTTAGATATATTCTTGAAAGTTTCGCTGTCCGAACCAACATTATTGTATTGTGGTAATTAAGCAACATTGCATATAGCAGCCAACCTAGTTTTTCACAAACGTACGGAACTTATTGAAATAGATTGCCATATAGTTCGAGAAAAGTTACAAGCTAAAATCATCAAACTATGTTATGTTTCGACTAAAATACAATTGACGGATGTTTTCACTAAAGTTTTGGGAAGACAACAATTTAATTTTTTGAAAGTCAAGTTTGATGTAATTGACCTACACTCTCAAACTTACTCTCCAACTTGAGGGAGAGTATTATGAAATTTGATTTAAGCTATAAAGATATTTGTGGAATATATTTTGTTGTATAAATGTACTTAGTTATAAAATATATTTGATATAGTTGTCATTCATTAGTATTTTTTTTCCTTTCTTTTTATGAGTTGGATATATTTTCTCTTACTTTCGGGAGTTGGTTGCAGTATATTATCTCTTGTTTTTAGAAGTTAGTTGGCATCTTTTATCTATTAATGAATATTGTACTTTGGATACGGACTTTTGGTTCTCATTCTTAACACAAAGACAATTAAGATAAAAACGAGCACTATTTGGCCAAATTAAGGTGTCAAAAGCTAAATTAGATTTTTAATAATGATATTAAGTAAGTTATGCCGCTCAACATGTTCTAATCCAATGTTGTGAACTTGTGTAGGTTGACTTGAATTTCAATGGACAGAATTGGACTAGCTCCAAGTATAATTTAGCGAGTTCAATTTAAGCGACTCAAGTAGGTGGTTTTTCTATTGTTTGGGTGACATGAATCATTTGAAGTATGAATGACATGTGCCCTATGACCCTTGCATGTGTCGTACCTTATGATTGTTATGTTTATTATGTTATGATGCGTTGTTACGATGAGATATGTCATGTAATGGAATATCATGTTGACATTATAGATTATAGAATATGAAATTAAAAATAACCAATAAAATAATTCATATCGGACGGGAAAATGTTGTTTAATAAACCGGTTTAAAAAATTAGGGTGCTTGAAAGGACAATTATTTTTGCCCTTTTTGTACAGCGAAAGTGGTGTAGAGTAAAGAAAAAAAAAACACAACCTTTATAACCCAAAGAAGAAAACAGTGATAGTGTTGTTTGTTTATATGTTATTGATAGCAATGGAGTGCCCAATCATTCATTTATTTATGTAATAATCGAGGAAAGAAAAGACATTGTCCGTATTGCTTAGGTTGAAAATTGGGGAGGTAGGAAGGTACGTCCTTGCTTCCTTTCATCCCACTTAAATGGTTTGAAATCTGTCAGAGAATACATTTTTTTTTTATAGTTCTAGGCCAACATTTTGGATGATTCAACTTAGGTCTGATATGCTTGGACCCTTTCTTACTAGCTTTAACTCGCATTTAAGGTTAATATATTTTAGCTAATTTAAATTTTTTAAATTAAAGTTTAAACTATTTTATACCAAATTAGATATCGTTCATTTAAATTATTTGGAATAAATTTAAATTATTTTACAAAAATTAGGCCAATCTTTACAAAATCATCGGCTAAAGAAACTAAGTAAAAACAAAAGGATAAGACGAGGAAGAAATATCTAAGTAATTCCAAGATTATTGCACACATGATGTAATAACAAAAAAAAAAAAAAAAAAAAAAGAAGTTGTCTCACATTACTTGTGTTTAATAGTGGGGAGCTAGGGCTCCATTGAAAGGGAGGTTCTTGCTTCCTTTCATCCCATTTGAACGGTTCGAAAAATACATTTTCTGACTATTCCATGTCATCATTTTAGCTGATCCAGTTTAGGTTTGATACGCTTAGACCTTTTCCTACTAGTTTCAACTATTCGGAAGCGTTTAAAGTTAGTCTAACTATCTTTTAGCTAGTTTAAATTTTTGAAATCAAGTTTACATTATTTTATGAAAAATGAGGTGAGTCAATTCCCAAGGTAGAATTCTAATTTATGATGGTTGGACTCCCCATGTAGAATTAAATTTCAGAGAGAAGCGTTAAGCTAACATCAAAGGATCGTAGTAGCTTCGACCTAGGCAAACCAAGTAAATGATTGTACTATTAGCTCGGTCGGAAGAATTATTTTATGTATGATGACACATGCCTAGTGGCTCGTACACGTGTCATGTGTTTATTATGATGTGTTATGATGGCATGTTATGTTATGTTATGATGATAGGTTACATCATGATGATATGATATGTTATGATGTTAGAATATATAATGATGAGGTGATATATTAAGATGACATGAGATGTATGACGATATGATACATTATGATGATACCTCATGTTACGATGATATGTATGTCTGAGATGCCATGTTGCACTATGACATGAACATTCTTGGCAATGAAATGTATG